TAAACCAAAAATGTTGGAAATACTCAGCGGGTCTGGCAGCACCTGTGACGAGAGTTAGAGTTGATGTTTCAGACCTGAGAGATTTCTTCAAGGAGTGCTGAAATGTTAACTTTCTGCATTCGCACATGTCTACAGACATACTGGGTGTTTCTAGCATTTTCTGTTTTTATTTCAGGGCAGGATGCTTATTTTTAAGCAGAATCTGAGCTTTGCCATAAAAAGATGAGAGCGTCTGCATTCCCATTTCTAATAAATGCATGGCATCTTTATTTCAATTCTGCATCAAGTATTCAAAAGTTAAAACTTGAATGAGGCAAATACAGAGCTAGTTTAAAATATATCTTAAAGTTATGGTCCTATTGGATAACAGTTTTACGGTTTGCAGTGAATTTTCTAATCCGCTTCTGTGTACTGATTTTGAAAGATTTCTCAAACATCTGTGCTACATTTACCTCCAGGAATTCAAGTGACTGTCAGTCATTCTTATGTGACCTGTTCTTCATTACCAATAATTTAATGGTACATAGTGTTTTAGTGTAATTGAATAGTGTTATTAAAGCTATATGAAGAGAGACTTGTTCAATTAGTTTGTATGAAATTGTCCAATTTCTGACCAACCTGTTCAGAAGAGTAATAACGATGGGGTTATTTCGTTTAGATGCTTGTAAGGAAACTTTAATGATTTTATAATGTTGAACTGGTTCTAGTTTGGAGGAAGAATGTGAATACTCGGTGTGCACAGCTAATTTACAAGCAAGAAATATGGAACTGCAGAGTGACATGAAAAAGATGACTGCTGTCTTCGAAAAGCTGCAGGTTTACATAAGTCTCCTTACCTTACCAAGTAAGTACACAAAATGATTTTGTTTGTCATGCAAGATCACCACAAAAACCACCACATATGTTCCTGGAAGGATTGTAGCCAAAATATCCTGCCATGGCAGATGATGGAATTTGATTCAATAAAAATCTGGAGTTAAGAGTCTAACGATGACTATGAATCCATTGTTGATTGTCGTAAAAACCCATCTGGTAAACTTGTGTTCTTTAGGGAGGTAAACTGTCATTTTTACCTGGTTTTGCCTCCATGTGACTCCAAACCCACAGCCAAGTTGTTGACTTAACTACCCTGTGTGCGGTTAGGGATGAGCAGTAAATGCTGGTCAAGAATTCCTGTGAATGAATTTTGAAAAACTGTATCAAAAAATAGAAGTTGAGAAGGATGAAATATGTTTCCACATCATTTTGTGTAAATTGATTTTAGGAAAAATAAGTTAATGTGTTTAAATTTTTAAAAAAATTCTGAAGCCTGCTTGAATGCTATTTAGGGGGACTACTGAGGCTGGGACTGAGGAAGTTTTTATGCAGGTGGCAGCAGAAAGAAAACTGAAGAAACCTGTTGACTTGTTTTGTCTATTCACAACACTGTACTAAAGTTAATTTTGTTTTGTTTTTAACTCTGCACCATTTTTCTTTTAGGTACAAAACCTGAAATGCTCCTTCAGACAAACTATAATATAGTTTTCACACAGCTTGCTGCTTGTCTTCATTCATTGCATGATGTCATGAAAGGCAAGTCTTTTAAGAAAAAGGCATTTTAGGATCTTTTCAGCACGATGTAAAGATTTTTCTGCTGCACCATTGCTTTTAACTGTCCTTTTTATAAATGTTTTAAAATATAGTTCAGAAATAAATAACCAGTATAATAAAAATGCAGCAAAGATAGCATATTCCTCAGTTTTTGTTATTATCCAAATTCCAACTCTGAAAAAGGCTTCTATACTTTATCCTCTGAATTGTTAATCAAGTTCGTTCTAGGTTATAGATTGTGTGCAGCATCCTACATGACTGGCGATCTGGAAGTTAATGTTTTGAATGTGTATAATGTCGTTTCCATTTTTAAAAAAAAATTAATGTATAGCAAAGCCACTAAAATCTAATAGCTCTTAGAAGGTAAACAATTTTTATAGAAAGAAATTGAGTTAAGTCAGTGAGCAGAACATTGGCAAATGGAGCATAATGTGAGAAAATGTGAAGTTCATTTGGAAGGGAGAGCAAAAGAACAGTATTATTTAAGTGGTGAAAAGGGACTTGGGTGAACTTGTGCCTGAAACACACAAAACTAGCGCATGTGTAGGAGCTAATCAGGAAAGCTAATGAAATATTGGCCTTATTTCAAATATGATTAGGGAAGTCTGACTGCAACTGGAGGAGGTGCTGGTGAGACCACATCTGGTGTACTATGAGCAGTTTTAGTCCCCTTTATTTGAGGAAAGATATTGTCATAGGAGTCCGTTCAGAGAAGGTTCACTAGGATGATTGTCTAATGTGTAAAGCGTAACGGATTGGAACTCTGTTTGTCGGAATTTTGAAGAATGAGAGATGATTTCATTGCAACATTTGGATTCTTAAGGGGCTTGACAGAGTAAAAGTTGAGAGGATGTTTCCCCTCATTGAAGTATCTAGGACCAAAGGACACAGTCTTAAATTGGTGCCTCTTTATTTTGAGTCAGAGATTAGGAGGAATTTCCTCTGAGGGTTAAGTGTCTTTGGAACTCCTTGTCACAGAGACCTGTGGGGCAGAGTCCTTGAGTATATTTAAGGCTGAGATAGATCCTTGATAAGGGGAATCAAGGGTTAAGGAGAAAGGCAGCAAAGTTGATGTGTCAGATCAGCCGCGATCCTATAGAATCTCAGAGCGGGCATGGGGGACTAAATGCCTACTCCCTGTTTCCTATTTCTTACGGTCTTATGGTCCAGCTTCTTGTTCACTTAAAATTGTTTGCTCTCACTCATATAAAATTAACCTGATCAACAGCACTTGTAAAAAATAATCTGCTTTGATTCATGTATTCAGTTTTGGAGAAATGAAGGTCAAGGTATTCTGTTGTTCATATTAAACTGATTTGTGTATTGTATGGTAGATTTTAGAAATAACAGCTTGCATTAATATAGTGCCTTCAAGATAAGAAAATATCCTCGCGTGCTGCTCAGAAACTCAATCAAGCAAAAATCAGGATCTGGTCAAAGAAGATTCTTGATGCTGGAATATCAGATCTCAATCAGTGAAAGTAGATTTTTTTGAGGAAGAGTTTTACAGGAGGATGGGATTAGGGAGGGATTTCCAGAGCGTTCAGTCAAGAGAACTGAAGTCATTGCTTACAACGTTGAGGTGAAGGGTATGTAAGAAACAGGGTTAGAGAGTGGAGTTCTTGAAAGGTTTATAGAGCTGAATTTGCTTACAGGAAAGGGAGATGCAACACCATGCATAAAATTTAAATTTTAGGTGCTGATGCACTGAAAACCAAAGTAGGACTTGAAAGAATGAAAGGTGAGTATCAGTTGGTATGTGTTGCAATATGGACAGAATCTCCAGATTTATGGAGAATGGAAGATGATAGGCTATTGAAGTTGATTCTGGAAGTCCGTAGTGGTGACACTTTTTTTCTCTTGTTTGCACACTCCACAGATGTTCTAAATTTCCTAAGCTTTATTCATTTTATAAAACTTTTTGATTTTCATTGTAGGTAGATCCATTTCCATTATTGAAGTTTTAAAATTTATACATCAAATACTTTAAACAAGTGATCTCTTGGATGAAAATCCTTTGGGAAATTATTGTGAGAAAATTATGATCCCATCTGATGGTAATACGGAGCAATTCAGATTCTAAAGTGAAACTTGCCTTGTTAAGGCATAGGTTTTATTTTTGCTGTTTGTTCGTATGGACAACAGTCAATGTACTTTAAATGTGAGAACATCAAAATTTATTACATTTGGGAGAAGGGATAAAACTATTTTACAATGTACAAGGACTAAGATTCAAAACCTCATTGCAGGTCACCCTGTTTCCACTTCAAAATTCTTTGTTCATTTGGCACTGCTGTAATTTATTTCTGGAACTTTCTTCTAATTGACTTTTAAACGCTTTCAGAACAAACATATGGGTTTTCCATATCCACTAACAAATGAGTTTTTTCCCTAAACTTTTTAACAATTTTCCCAGCCCTAACTTTCTGAAGACTACTAAGTTAACAGCAGTTCTTGCTCTTGCTGAGCCTGCACGCATTGCCTGGCCATCTGGATTCTTTTGAATTTGTGATACTGGGCCTCTGTTGTAGGGCAACAATTTTCTTTTCCTACCCTTTTTAACTAACACACTGAACCTCAAGCTCTACTGCAAGGCTGGAAACCCTCGTTAAAAGTACACGTATCAGCAAAGTTCAGACTCTCCACCACCACACTCTGATCAAATTAAACTAAAACCATGTCTTCCTCTGTTAACACAATATAGAAATAAAAATTAAACTGTAAGGTAATAATCGTTCTGTGCACTTTAGAACATAAGTTTCCAAATAATTATGACAATGATCCTTCATCACAATTTTTGCATTAATTGTGGGTTTGTTCTTATAGTTTTAGTTTGAAGTTCTCTGGAATTTGTTTTTGCAGTGCCAACTATCTTGGCACTAAGTAATATCGACACTACAAACTCCTAGTGGGCTGCAGCTATTTGTAACTGATCCGTTATGAATTACTCCAGACACTTCCAAGTGAGCAATTCTATTCAAAACAACCTGTATACTTAATATCTTTCCTATAAATTAGATTCTCAAAAATATTTGTGAAACCATTTGAGTGTACAATCAGAGTTTCAGATCTCTGCCCATTAGCATGTTTTAAAGAAAATTAGATTTAGTGTATTCTGTGAAGTCATTGCATATTTTGAGTACGCTATACACTCTTGCAATGTGTTTCTGTTGTCAGATATCTTTGCAATACTGTATATAGACCGAAAAGTGAGAATCAAATGACAGATATGATGTTAGGCTTTGTTTTCTGAGGGTTAGTTTAGCTTTGAAGAAGGAGCCCTGCATTCTCACAGTTACATTAATTGTGGTTCATCATTGCTTGCTAAGGTTGGGCTACCATGTTGGAGGCAAGCTAGCTTTCGTTTAATGCTCTTTCATGGGATGTAGGTGTTGCTGGCCCGGCTAGCAAATAATGCCCAATCTTCATTGTCCTTAAATGATGATGAGTTGCCACCTTAAACTGTTCATCCAATGAAGATATAAATACATTGTTATTCAGGACAGAATTCCGAAACTTGAATCCAGCAACAGTGAAGAAAAGACAATATAGTTGCAAGTTAGGATGGTTTGAATATTGCAGTGCAACTTGCATTGATGTTCCCATGCACCTTCTGACCATGATTGTTCTAGGTGACTCTCTAAATCACACTGGTTTGAAGTTGTTGAAGGCACCTTAACAAGTTGCTGTAGTGCACATTGTAGATGGTATATGCTGCTGCATTGGTGTTGGAAGGAGTCAACGTTTAATGTGGTGGAAGGGGTGCTAATCAAGCCGCTTGCTTTGTCTTTGACCATGTTGAGTTTTTTGATTGTTAGTAGAACACACTTCAGGCAAGTTGAGGTGATTTTAATCACATTTGAATCTTGAACATGACAGACTAGAATTGGGAAATTTACTCCCCACGTAATTGCCAGCCTGTGACCTACTCTTGTAGCCACGGTACTTGTATGGTTAGTCAAGTTCAGTCGCTAATATGTATAGCGCCCAGAATGGTGAGGGCTTCAGTGATGGTAATACTATTGAATGTGAAGTGCCAATGATGTGATAAAAGGTATATAGTGCGTATTATCGTTTATAATTTTAAAATCTAGGCAGATGTGTGATTTCAGTTTTGTGAAGATAACTTTTTTGAGGTCAGAAGATCATTCCAATAATGAATTGAAAAGACCATTGCCAGGAGGCATCTGATTTAGTCAAGTGCCTGTTGTGTTAATTAACGAAATGTTTAATGAATTAGATGTTTATACTGCTGAGCTTAGAACAGACAAGAAAATCGGTCAGAGGCAACAATTTAGTTTTGACGTTAGTTCAGAAGGGAGAACAGTAGCCTCATAATAGAATCAGGCTTTCATGTCAGGGGAACCTGTCACCCTAGCAGAAGTGATTTTGTTTTATGAAGTTTCCAAGCTGTGAGGTTTTGTATGGAAGTCTTCAGATTGTTAGAACTGAAAAGAGATTTAGGCTGCCAGAATTGGGGGAGAAAGTTCATGCTGACAGAAACTGAAGGAAGTCCCCTAATCATCTCCATAGTTCCATAGATAGCAAAGTAAGAAATTGCAAGAAACAAAAGGAGCTGAGTTAGGAGTAATACTTGGATTAATAGTCATACAGCATGAAACGGACCCTTCAGCTCAACTTTTCCATGCTGACCAGGTTTCCTAAACCGAACTAGTCTCATTTTCCTGCATTTGGTCCATATCCCTCCAAATCTGTCCATTTACCTGTCCAGACGTCTTTTTCACTGTTGCCATTTTGTTGATCAACAATAGCCTGGGCTTGGAATTAGATGATTGGATTTTTTTTTTTTTCCTACATTTTGTGTATGAAACATACCTGGGAATCTTTCCATGATGTAGCTGCTCTATAGCAACTTTGTTTTGGATATGGTTACAGCTAATCTGTTATCAGGATTCGTAGTCTTTGGTGCTTGCTATCACATGGAGTGAAGCAGATTGGCTGAAGACTGAATCTGTACTACTGGTAACCTGTAGAGGAAACCAAGTTAGATCATCCACTTGGCACTTCTGGCTGAAGATTGATGCAAATGTTCGAAACTTGTCTTTTGCACAAGGCATTCTCTGCCATCGTTGGGGATAGGATATTTGTGGAGCTGCAGTCTCCATTAAGTTGTTTAGTTCACTACTATTCACGGTTGTGTATGGCAGGACTGCAGAACTTTTGATCTGTTTTGTTGATTGTGGAATAGCATATTGCTTTTTTGGCATGCATGTAATGTGTGGCTGCTGGTGTGCTGCCCTGCCCTCATCATTGAACTAGAGTTGATCCTATGACTTAATGGTAAAATGAAGAATATATTGGGGGATGAGGTTGCAAATTACTATTGAAAATAATTCTGTCATGAATATTGGCCCACAGTTCCTCGTGGATTCTGAGCTTTGAGCTACTAGATCAATTGAGTCTATCCCATTTAGTACAATAACACCACATTCCTCAATAGTTGTCCTACTTGTACTCTTCTGGACAGCAACATATCCAACAGGTAGGTTGAAAGGGATGAGTCAGAAGGGTTTCTCTTCTGGCTTTTCTTTTTTCTACCTGCCACAGGCGTGGTGTGATAGATCCTTCAGAACTTGGCTGGCTTGATTACTAGTGATCCTGTAATGGTTATGATTTAGCCCATGCACTCTTTAGGAGTAATCTTTTACCTTTGCCTATTTCAACAGTGTTACCTGCTGTTAAGGTGCCTTGGATGGTCTTTGTACCTAGCATGTAGTTTAGGAGATTAAATAGGAGGAATTAAACTCTGGGATTAGAAATACATTACTGCATTTTCTCCGGAACCACTTCAATATTGTTTATATATTGTCTATTTATTGCCTCCTTTAGCAACTATTGTTCCAAGACTGCTTTGGTGGGTTTCCATTACAGTATTTAAAAATGAGGAATATCTGGTATTCAGCAATTGATGTTACCTAGGGAATAGGTAGGAACGCCTCTCCTAATTATGGCAAAATTGAGGCATTGCTGTCAAGAGAGAGAGCCATGTTTACTGAGAATGAGCCAGATTGTAATCCAGCATGCAATTTAAACTGTCTCTCAACCCTATGTAACAGTGTATAATTTATAAGTAATGTATGCTGTAAGACGTCTTTTCTGAATTCAGATTGAAAATGAGTTCCTTGAGATGTAAGATCTGAAAAAATGAATAGGAAAATAGGATGAATAAGAGTTGGCTCATCTTTTACTTTTCCAAAGGTAATCTATTTCTTACTCCATCTGCATTCTTGTTTGCAGTGAATCCATGTAGTCCATTTATTCTGGTATTACAATCCATTTTGGCTTCAATCTCAATTGAATATATTGGGACATAAATTAATATTCTAGAATGTTTTGACCATCCAGTTTCTACAGTGGCTCAATCTCCGGTAAAAGATGGGGAATACTTCATTAATTTCAACATTTTCTGCTTCCTAAAGGGGAGAAAAGTTATTACCTTTACCTGGATGTGTTATGCACACTAATATCTGTTATGTTTTGACTTACCACATCAGCCCTAAGACCATGAGATATAGGAGCAGAATTTTGCTATTAGGCCCATCAAGTCTGCTCGGCTGTTCGATCATAGCTGATACGTTTTTCAACCCCATTCTTCTGTCTTCTCCCATAACTCTTGATATCCTCCATTGGATTGTATGTGTTTTATGAAGTGTTTTATATCAAAATCATGCATATTATTTGTGCAAAATCCACATTTTCAAAGTGTTTATCCTTTCTCAGAGTGAGAAATGTTTGCAGCTGCAGAGCTAATGACTGTTTTGGTTTGTTTTTCTGTTTTTAGATATTTCCAAGCACTACAGTAAGAAGGTTTCCTTAGAGCAAGAGCTACCCACCATTACACAGAAGCTTAAAAATACCAATGACTGTATTCTTTCTTCTGTTGTAGCATTGTCAAATGTTACAGGAAAGGTAACTGACCATAAATTACAGTCACTACAAATGAGAAAACCATTGTCAGTCCTTAAATAAAAGTGAAATATTGTGGATGCTGGAGATCTAAAATAAAGAAAAAGAATGCTGGAGAAACTTAGCAGGTCTGGCAGCATCCATAAAGAGTGAAACAAAGTTAATGTTTTGAGTCCAGTATGACACTTTTCAGAATTGAAGAGGTGAAAAAGTGATGGATTTGATGTTACTTGCAAAAGGTGAGGAAGAGCAAGTACAACAAAGGAAGGTCAGGGAAAAGTGTGATGGTATAATAGGCAAAGAATGTTAAAGGTTTGAGAGAAGAGATATAGATCCAGAATAGGCTTTCATAATAAAAGGTAGGTCCGCTCTGCTGAAAGCAAAACCTTGCAAACGAGAATCAAAATGGAGCTCAGAGTTTCTGATCTGAGGTTGTTAAACTCAACATTGAGTCCAGGAGGCTGTAGAAAATGAGGTGCCACTCTTTCAGCTTGCTTTGGGCTTCGCTGGATCACGCAACTGACCTCAGAAACGTGGGCATGAAGCCAAGCTGGCATTTTGAAATGGCAAGTGACTGGAAAATTTGGCTCATGCTTGTGGATTGAATAGAGGTGTTCTGCAAAGCAGCAGTTGGTCTGCATTTTGTCTTTCCAGTGTGGAGGAAACCACATTGTGAGCAGTGAATTTCATACTCTTGAATGGAGTAAAAAAAAGTTGCTGCTTCACCCCAAACTGGTGTTTGTGGCCTTGCACAGTGAGGAGGGAGAGATAACAGGAAAAATAGTATACCACCTGCAGTTGCATGAGTTGGTGCTATGGGAAGGGCATAATACAGCAGTACTCAAACATGTTGTGGATAGAATGGCCCCTTTGGAATCCTAACAGGGGAGAGGAGGGGAAGATGTGTCGAGTGGTGGCGTCTTGTTGGAGGTGGTAGAAATGGCAGCAGATGATCCTTGGAATGTGCAGGCTGAAGTAACGGAAAGTGCAAGGAAGATGTCTTGAAAATGGGTTGGACATGGTTGAGGGACACATCCACAACAATTGGGGAATCATTCTTTAAAGAAAGAGGAAGATGCGTCTGAAGTGTCATTGTGGAAGACAGTATAATAAGCGACACAAGCTAGAAGAATTTATTGGAATCCTTGCAAGAAGCCGGTTCTGAAGAAATATACCCAAGGTAGCTGTCAGAATCACTGAGTTTGTAATGAATATTAGTTGACTGCTTGTTCCCAGAAATTGAAATGGAAGTCATGAAAGGGAATGGCAGTGTCAGTCATGGGCCAGGTGAAGTTGAGAGAAGGGTGAAAGTTGAAAGCAAAATTGATCAATTTTTCCAGCTCTGGGCAAGATTATGACAAGCAACATTGATGGACAGGTACATTCATACACCTGCATAGTCGTCAACATCAGTTTGTCAATCGTTGTCACATTTATTCACAATTGATAGACAGGTTACTCTTTCTTTCTTAAATCCTAGATAATTTGTAATAGCTTCTATAAGCAATATAAGAAGTAGGAGGTAATGTAGGCCATTCAGCCCATCTAGTCTATACTGCCTTTCAATGAGATCAAACTCAGTTGCACTTTCCTGTCGTTTCTGTAGAACTGTTGATTCCCTTACTATTTAGAAATCTGTCTGTCTCAGCCTTGACGTCCCTTTGCAATAAAGAATTCCACAGATTCTCTACCCTCAGAAGAAATTTATCCTCTTCTGTGTTTTAAATGTGCAACCCCTTACTCTGAGATTATGGCCTCTGGTCCTAAACTCTCCCACAAAACAAAGCATTCTTTATGCATCGACCCTGTCAAAGCCCCTAAGAATCTTGATCTTTCAATAACGCTGCCCCTCACTTTTCTAAATTCTAGTGAGTAAAGATGGTCCTTCCATAACTGATCATCTAGTCAACTTCCTGTGGACTGCCTCCAAAGGCAGTACATCTTTCCTCAGATAAGGTGTCCAAAGCTTTTCACAGTATTCCAGCTGTGGTCTGATTAGTACCTTGTATGGTTTTAGCAAAACCTTCCTTTTAAATTCCATTCCCTTTGAAACGAAAGCCAACATTCCATTTGCCTTCCCTATTAGCTGCTAAGCTTATATGCTAGTGTTTTGAAAGTCACAGATGAGGACTCTCAAATCCTTCTGTTATGTGGCTTCCTGCAGTCCTTTTCCATTTAAATAATATTTAGCTTCTTTATTCTTCCTGAAAAAGTGCATAACATCATATTTTTCCACATTATATTCCATCTGCCAAGTTTTTGCTTGCTTGCTTAACGTGTCCATAGCCCAATGCAGACTCTGTCAGACTCAGCACTTGCCTTCCTATCCAATTTTGTCATCCCTAAACCTGGTTACGGTACATTCACTTTCTCATCTGAACGATTATTATATATCGTAAATAATTGTGGCCCCGGTATTGAATTCTTGGCACTCCACTAGGTTGCCATCCTGAAAATACCCCCCTCACCCTTATCCCAACTCCTATCTTTGATTAGTTAGTATATTAGCATGGATAGAGGAATGGCTATATTCAACACCATGTGCTGTTATCATCTTTATGTAGCCTGATGTGTAATACCATTTCAAATGCCTTCTGAAAATCCAAATATTATATCCACTGCTTTCCCTTTATCATCCTGCTTTTTATATCCTGAAAGAAATCTTGTAAATTTGTCAGGCATGATTTCCTCTTCTTGAAGCCACGCTCATTTTGTTTGATCATATGCATTTTTAAATACTCTGCTATTACATCCTTTATAGATTTACATGGTGACTCAGTGGTTAGCACTGCTGCGTCAGTACCAGGAACCCAGGTTTGATTCCAGCCTCAGACGACTGTCCATGTGGAGTTCGGACATTCTCTCCCTGTGCTTGTGTGGGTTTCCTCCTGTTGCTCTGGTTTCGCCCCTCCAAAGATGTGCAGATTAGGTGGGTTGGCCATGGGAAATTGTAGTGTCTAGGGATGTTCAGGCTAGGTGGATTAATCATGGTAAATGTGGGGTTACAGGGATAGGGTTGGCTCTGGGACTGGATAGGATGCTGTTTGGAGAGTTGGTATGGACTCGAAGAAGCAAATGGCCTGCTTCCACTCTGTATGGTTTCTACAATTCTATAACTCTTAACATTTTCTCAACTTCAGACATTAAGCTAACTTACCTTTTTAAATAAAGGTTTTCCCAATCCTCTGGAAGTTTCTCATAAGCTCAGGATTCTTGGAAGATTACTGCCAGTGCATCCATTATCTCTGTAGCCACTTATTTTGGCATCCTAGATTGCATCCCATCTGGACCGGGAACTTATTGTCCTTGTCTCATTGGTTTCCCTAGTACTCTTTCTCTGGTGGTAGTTGTTGCATTTATTTCCTCTCCTCCTTTATCCATTCATTATTTAGTCATTTAAGAATACTGTTAGTGTCTTCTACTATGAACAATGATGCAAAGTATTTATTCGCCTCCTTTGTCATTTCCTGATTGCACATTATAATTTGCCCTGTCTTGTTCTCTGAGGCATCTGTTCACTTTGGCCCCTCTCCTCCTGTTTATATATTTAAAGAAACTTTTTCTTTCCATCTTGATATTACTTGCAAGTTTACTCTCAAGTTTATCTTCTATTATTTTGTTCAGCTAAGCGGGCCTTCTAGTTTTATAAAGTTCTACACTGAAGATGTCCATTTGCTTTATTATGCATGTGCCTGTGTTGGCCAGTCCGTGGGATCTCTCTCATTTGCTAAAGCTTTTCCTTTTCAAACACCCATTCACTTTTTACCTTTTAGAAGTTTAGAATTTAAAAAAGGGATGCATTATTTTTAAATTGTGTCCTGTATTTCTGTTCTCTCACAAGGGGAAGCATTCTCTCAGCATTCAACCTATTCAGCCGCCTCAGGATCTTTGTAAATTTCAATAACAACACCTCTCATTCTTCTAAACTCCAGTGAATACAGCTTGGTCTTTCCTGATAGTATGACCCCTTGACCTAAGAATCAATTGAGTAAATATTATCTGAACTGTTGGAAATATATGTTTAAATTCAAGTACTGTGGGGAAGCATTGATATGGAACAGTTTGAACATTGTCTAGCAGAGGTTACCAGGTAGTCTTATCAAGGAACAAAGTTAACTGCTTAAATTGTGCTGTAAGTCAGCTGTTATTTACAGAAAAATCAAATGATTTTGGAGAAGGCATTAAAGCTTTCAGGGAACTAAGAGATGAAGTTTATGGCCTTTATTATTGAAAGATCAGCTTTGAAAGATTAAGGAGCCTCTTTCGAGACTTGGTTTTCTGTTCTACAGACCCAAGTCTGTTAGTAAAAAGACACCCCAGAAACTGAAGTACTTGTCTGGAAATTCTTTTTCTCAGAAGATCCTGAAACCCAATGTTTCTAAATACCAATATTTACAATCACCTTGTAAAACCAAGAAAGTTGGATTGTGACCATTTTCCCAAAAGTCGGATCCAGGGATTAAGAGAATATGGTTTTAATGCCGACCATAGCTTAGGTGTGAACCAGTGTTTTTCATTTGTTTTAAAAATAAGTTTTGTTTACAATAAATGTAAGCCTCACTTATTGTATTCCAGACTGCAGAAAAGAAACAATTGTTCATTTTGCTAATTGAATCAACATAAATTCATACTAATAGTGTGACTGGTGAATCAATGGGACTTAGTTACCAGCACATTCCTCCCATCGTAGCAATAACAATTGCTAGTGAAATTATTTCTTTTCTTAAATAAGGCAGACAAAACTGGACTCAGTATCACAGATATGGTTTTACTAGCAATCCACACAACCACATTAACGTGTCCATTTATCTTCTGTTCCCCTTGCAATAAACAATTCATTTGCCTTCCTAATAACTTGCTGTACTGTGTGCTAGCTTTGATTTATGTACCAGCGCACGAGTATCTTTCTATACGTGAGTTTCTGCAGTCTTTTACTCGGTGTGTTTTTATTTCTTCTTCCTTTTTCTTACTCCTTTCTTGAATAGAGAAGTTATATTTGCAACTATAACCAAGATCAGTTTTTAATCTCGTGAGTCGGTATTTAGAATGCACTGCCTGAACGAGTGATAGAAGCAGATTCAATAAATTTTAAAAGGGTGTAGGATAAGTACTTGAGTGACAAATTACAGCTGTTATAGGGGAAAATGCAGGGGAATAAAACTAATTGGATAATTCATTTAAAAACCTCCTGAATGGACAAATGTCCACCACTTATAGTACGTATTATAAGTAGTTTACAAATGTTATATTGGTTTTTATTTCTTGTGCCTTCTAAGCACTGGTTTAGAGCCTGATCCACTGTCCCTGAAGAAGTATTGTCCTTGAAATGATTTTGTTTCTCACTGCAAAACGAAGCACCTACAGCTTATTGATATACGTACACTGTTCGTTGAAGTCTTTTTTTTTTGTCTTTTGTAGATTGGTACATTCTTCAGTAACAACCTGGACTTTTTCACAGTTCCTTCTGTGTATAGCTCAAGGATAGCAATGAGTGTAATAGATCCTGTTGCAGCAGAATGTATGCTGGCGAACAAGAAGAAAGCAGCTGCATATATTAAATCTTTAAAGAAGGTTTGTATTAATATGCTGAGACTGAACTGATGCATAATTGCATTTCATGCTACATCTAATGGGGAAAAGGGAAGGAAATTGGGTAAGGGATTAAAATAAGAATCTCTATTTGCTTGACTGTTGCTGCAAAGGATATTGTAAGTCATTAGCAAGGTTAGTTATTTTTGCAGGGTTTTGAGCTCTTCTAGCAATTTTAATCTACAGATTATTTAATATTAACTTGATACTGAAGAAGCAATCATTTAGTCATTAGCTGTCTTGCCCATCATTGCCCCCTTTTATTTTCACTCGTAGAGTGTCAAGCTGTTCTGTCTGGTTTCTAAATACCTGTGACACATTCAGTTTTTAAATTCTTTAATCAATGTTGTGTTAAGTATTATATAAACAAATATTTATCAGCAGTTTTATGATGAAGTTAAATTCTAAAGCACTAAAACTATTGCAGTTCCGTTGTGTTAAACCAGATGAATTGCTACGCGATTGTGTTGTAGTTGCAATAGGTCCTGATTGGTACTGAAGTCCATTATTCACTGCTGAAGGGAGAATATCTAAAGTCATGTATGGAAAGCATCTTTCAGCTGCAACAATGGGCAACGTCAGAAGCAACGGTTATGTTTAAAAGTACATTTGGAAAGCTGTAGGGACAAGGAGAGGATGACCAGCAACCAGCCTTGTGCAGAATGTAACACTGATTAGAGTTTTGTAATACAGTATATAATTAGTTCTGCGTTAACGTTTTAGCATTGGAAGTTATGTAGTAGAATAATCATCTTGCAGCTTCGTCCAGGATCAGTGCCATATGAAGAAGCTTTGGCAAATCGCAAGACCATTCTGAGTTCCACTGAAAGCCGTGAAGGTCTTTCCCAACAGGTATTGATTTGTTTTCTTTGTTTGTTCAGGATCTTTGGTAGAAAAGCTCAAATAGCTAAGACACACTTGAAATGATCAGGATCTCTGAGAGCATTTTATATGGTTAATTATGGAAACTTAACCAATATTTAATATACCTCTTTCAAAGGCCATATCTAGTATAGATCTTTTTTTTAATCATCACAAGACACTAGAATGTTTTTAGGCCCTCTGTATTTCAAACTGTTAGCATAAGTTTACAGCCTATTTTGAACTTTTGAATAATGTCCAGAAATCTTGTGTCTCCATTCTCGTACATGAATGTTAATGAGTGTCAGGGCATTCACTGAATTTTGAGAATTACTAATCATGAAAATGCAGGTGAAGTCGCATTCTAATATCCTCCATCTTGTATGCAAAAAATCAGCATTATGTGGTACTGTGCCTTTATGACTGTCCGATTTTTCAAAAATTCAGGCCTTGGTATTAAATACGGCCTATTTATACCTGTTGACAGCAGCAATATGGACAAATTAATCTTTTGCTACTTATCACTTATTTTAGCCTTTAATAGTGTAACTGACTTCATCTATTCTTTAAGCTTAGCACTTTATGTACAAGCAACCTGTATTCTCATTTTCTTAAAATTCATTCATGGGGTAACGGTGTCACTGGCTCAGCCAGCATTTATTGCCTACTTCTAATTGCCTAGAGGACGGTTTAAGAATCACCCACTTTGCTGTGGCACTGGGGTCTCATGTAGACCAGACCAGGTAAGGACAGCAGTTTCCTTCCTTTAATGTCCTTTTAGAGTTAGGGTTAGGATTAAGAACCAAATGGGTTTTTCCAACAATCGACAATGAATCCATGGTCATCAGTAGTCTCTTAATTCCAGACTTTTATTGAATTTGCCTCCTTTTGTGCACTATTCTCCCTTTCTCTTGCTGTTGGAATGTCTCTCTCCCCCTCTCTCTCTGTCTGTGTGTCTTTCCACACCCCGCCGCCCTGTCTCCTTCTCCTCTTCTTCCCATCCCTTCCCTCTTGCTCTCTGCCTGGTGTGTATCTCTGTTTGTTTCTTTCTTTCTCGCTCTTGTTTTTTCTCGTTCTTTCTCTTCTTCCCCCTCCCCCTCCCGCTTGTTTTCTCTTCTTTCCCCCCTTGCTCTCGCGACCCCCTCGCTCTCCCTCCCCCCTCGCCCTCTGTGACTGTGTATATCTGGCTCTCTGTCCCACTGGAGTTTAGAAGAGTAAGTGGTGACTTGCTTGAATCATATAAAATACCAATGGACCTTAACATGGTGTGTGCAGAAAAAGTGCTGCCACTTGTAGGAAAGTTTAGAACTAAAGCTCACTGTTTAAAAGTAATGGAATGCCCATTTAAGATGAGTGTTTTTTTCTTAGGCTGTCTTGGAAAGTTGTGCCTTTTGAATATTAAAGCTGAGGTAAATAAATTCAGCAAAGAAGGGAGGTGGGAATGTGGAGTGATCAAAATCTGATTCAGTATTCATGATCTTTTGGATAGCTGAGCAGGCTGGAGGGCTGTCTGGCCTACTCCTAATTCTCCTCTTTCTTCCTAATTTGTACGTTGAAATGAGATGTGGCTATTATCAGCATTCAGTTTCAAAACCACACTGATTTCCAAGGCAACTTTGTGGCTGACACATGTACTTGTACTTGTGTAACGTTATTGCAAGCATTCCACCAGCAGATCACCACTTCTAGGGCATTGTGCAAAACAAACTGAAAAATTTTGCTCTCCAATATTGGGAACATTGTGTAAATGGTAATCAGAACTTGTTCTTCATCCTGAGACATCAATAAATTTACAATTCTTGAACTGTATTGACACTTGAATGCTGTAAGAACTTCCATAAAAGTTGAATTAATTAACCTTCTGCTCACGAGGTCTTTAAATTCCTTTGCAACAGTCTTTAAATCAAATTTGCTGACATAATGCATAGTATGTTTCTATTCAAAGATGTGGATGATGCTATCAAGGACAACGTTTATTGTCTATCCTTACTTGACCTCCCTAATTAGTTTGCTAAGAATGAGCCATATTGATGTGGGACTGGAGTCACTTAGTCCAGATCTATTAAGAGGTTCTTTGCTGAAAGGCTGTTAGTAAACCAACCTGATTTTCACAGCTGATATGTCATAACTTCTAATTATATCTATTTATTTCCAGATGTTTTTAAACTGAACTCAATTAATCAATTAGATTACCAGTACAGTAACCCAACAATACTTCTGTACCCATAATGCAGCTCTTCCAAATCTTGTCACTTGCTTTTGGACAAATGTTGCTTTACATGCCATTATTTTTGTTCTTTTAATTGTGCATCTATTCTTTGTCTTTATAATGAAGATTCAAACGTGATGTACTAAACATAGGGAAACAAGTTAACATATCCAAAAATGCATTTTAAAAACTAATTTTGTAGAACATAGTCTAGGAGTCCGGGTCGAATCATAAAATAAAAATTGGTCACAGCCTCTGCAAAGATTGGTTTAGGTCAAACAATGAACTGATTGCTTCAGGGTTGACTGCACAAAGGCCAATGCATTGCATTTGTTAAAATAAAAGGCCACCATGCATCATTGTGAAGAAAGGATCAAAAGGTTAAATGTTGGCACCATGATGGGTGAAAAGTTTCAATGTAAATTACAAAGTGCTCGTAATGTAACTGCAGGCCAGCACACTTGAATGTGTTGAGAATATTTATGAAATGAGATTCATGTTAATATTCAACGAGTAAATCAGACGACATCAGTTTTAGCTTTTTTTCACCACTGTTTGCTGCTGCCACAACTGCAGGAGACACTCGCCAACCATGCAGTTGACATCACTGAGCATGACATTATTTGTGACATTACTGTGAGCAAAATGATAGCTTGATGCCTGCGACTGAGTTTTTCTTGAATTTCAATCTAAGTTCACCCCCCCCCTTTTGCATATCCAGTTTGCTGCTTTGAAATTCTCCTAATAGTGAGTGCAAAACCATCTTAAGATATTGGAGCAGTAGTAGGCCCTTTGGCCCATCAGGTTTGCTCTTCCATTCAGTGAGATCATGGCAAGGGGCAAGACAACCTAACCATCACCCCTTGACATTTAATGGCATTACCATCACTCAATCTCCCACTATCAGAATTCTGGGGGTTACCACTGAGCAGGACCTGAACTGGGCTAGCAATATAAATACAGCAGCTGTAAGAGCAGTCAGATGAGGAATCTTGCACCAAGTAATTCACCGCCTGACTCCCCAAAGCCTGTCCACCATCTACAAGGCACAAGTCAGGAGTGTGATGGAATACTCTCCATTGGATGAATGCAGCTCCAACAACACTTAAAAAGCTTGACACCATCAAGGACAAAACAGCCTGTTTGATTGGCACCCCATCCACAAACATCCACTCACTCTGCCACCAACACTCAGCAGCAGTGGTGTGTACCATTTACAAGATGCACTTTAGAAATTCACCAAAGATCCTTAGTACCTTCCAAAGCCACAACCACTTCCATCTAGAAGGACAAGAGCAGCAGGCACATGGGAACACTGCCACCTGCATGTTCCCCTCCAAGCCACTCAACATCCTGATTTGGAAATATATCACCATTCCTTCAGTGTCACTGGGTCAAAATCCTGGAACTTCCTCCCTCTCAGCATTGTGGGTCAACATGCAACACATGGACTGCAGCAATTCAAGAAAGCATCTTAACAACCATGAGGTCACGTCTCATTCTTCTAAACTCCACTGAGTACAGACCAACCTATTCAACTCTCCCCATAAGACAGTCCCTTCATTCCCAGAATTAGCCTAATATACCTTCTCTGGACTGCCTCCAATGTCAGTCTATCTTTCCTTCGATAAGGAGCCCAAAACTGTTGTTGCATATTGATAGTGAAACAAATGGGGCTAAAGACTGGTAAGCCTTCTGAACCTGATGTGATGTATCCTCGGATACCAATGGAAGTAGCCACAGAGAATGCACATTGGTCATAATCTTCCAAAAAAACCTTGAGATTCTGGAAAAAATCAGCACTTCTTGCCAAAGTGCACAACCTCAGATTTTCCTGCATTGTAATCCATTTGCAAACTTTATGCTCCCTAATTAACATGTCCATATCCCTCTGCAAACATTGTGTCATCCTCACCACTTGCCTTCCTACCCACTTCTTGCCTTTCGTAAACTTGGCGATAGGACATTCACTTTCCTCATCCAAGTCATTAAACTGGAAAGGGTGCAAATAATATTTACAAGGTTGTTACTGACACTGGAAGGTTTAAGTTATAGGGAGAGGCTGGCTAGGCTGGGACTTATTTTCACTGGAGCATAGGAGGTTGCAGGGTTACCTTAGAGTTTTATAAAATCATGGGGGACATAGATAAGGTGAATAGCCAAGGTCTTTTCCCTAGGGTTAACTGGAGGGCATAGGTTTTAAGGTAAGAGGGTAAAGATTTAAAAGGGACCTGAGGGGTAACAGGGTGGCACATATGTGGAACAAGCTACCAGAGGAAGTGGTAGAGGAGGGTATTATTATCACATTTTAGAAGCATCTGGACAGGTATATGAAAAGGAAATGTTTAAAGGGATATTGGCCAAATGCAGGCAAATGGGATAGTTCAGTTGAGGAACCCTGGTCAGCGTGGACGAGTTAAGCTAAAGGGCCTGTTTTTGTATATATTGTAAATAATTGTGGCCACAGCCCTAAACCAGGTTGCCATGCTGAAACTGCAGCCCCCCCCCCCCCCCCCCCCCCCCAACTCTGTCTTCTATTAGTTAGCCATTTCTCTCCGCATGCTAACGTACTCTTCCAATATTATATCTTTTATCTTATCAAGTACCTTTTGATGCAGTACTTTGTCTAATCGCTTTTTGGAAATACAAATATATTTTATCTATTGATTCCTCTTTATCCTGTTTGTTACTCCTTAAAGATTTCTAATATGTTTGTCAGGCATGAGTTTCCCCTTCCTGAAGCTATGCTAACTCTTCTTGATTATGTTTTGTTTCTAAATGCTCACAATTACATTCTTTTTATAGTAGACTTGAATATTTTTGCAATGTCAGATGTTAAGCTAACTGGCCTATAGTTACCTGTTTTTTGCCTTCCTCCCTTTTCAAATCAGGATGCTACATCGGTGGTTTTCCATCCTCTCAGAATTTCCTGAATCTGAGGATTCTTACTATGTGCACAGGCAGTAATCTTTCACGTTTGTAGCTACTTTCTTTAATACCTTAATATTGTTAACTATCCTAAATGGGAGGCCCCTTGTTTTAAACTGAGTTCTCGAGTTCTAGTCTCTTCCAGAAGGGGAAACATCATTTCAGCATTTACTTTAAGTCCCCTCAGGATCTTGAATGGTTGATTAGATCATCTCTCATTCTTAACTTCTATAGATTCAGATCCAGCTATTCCTCATATAAGTTAATACCCCCATTCCAGCTATCAGTTGAATCTTCTCTGAAATGCTTTGCATTTGTATCCTTCCTTAAATAAGGAGACCAAACTTGTGTACACTTCTTCAGATATAGTTTCACCATATCCTGTACAAATGTAGCAAAATATCCCTTTTATATTCCATTTCCCTTGCAATAAAGCACAGTGTTCCATTTTACCATCTTGCTTGCTGCGTTTGTAACTTTGAGAGATTCATGTGCAAGGAATCTAGATCTTTCTGTACTTTCAAGTTCTGCAATCTTTGTCCATTTAATCATAGAATCCCTACAGTATGGAAACAGGCTCTTCAGGCCAACAAGTCCACACCGACCCTCAGAGCATCCCACCCAGACCCATCCCTCTGTAACCCACCTAATCTACACATCCCTGAACACTACGGGTAATTTAGCATGGCCAATCCACCTAGCCTGCATATCTTTGGACTGAGAGAGGAAACCGGAGCACCCACAGGAAACCCACGCAGACACAGAGAATGTGCAAATTCCACACACAGTCGCCCGAGGGTGGAATCAAACCCAGGTCCCTGGCACTGTAAGACAGCAGTGCTAACCACTGAGTAACCGTGTCTCCCCTGGTGCATGTGGCAAATTTCAGCTTACCAAAGCAGTATATGTCTGGATTGGTATTGCTGTGTCATACTGGAAATTCTACATTTAAAAAGAAAAATCAATGAGTTGGTATTCCACCTTGTCACTCATAAGCTTGAATTCCAACCATGTTCAGAGTCCAGGGGACTGTGCTGCGCAACTATTGTACAGAATTAAACTAGTACTGCTATTTAAACTGGTTGCAGGGGAAGGTGCCGTGGGGCTGTGCAAGGGTGTTGGGGGTGAAGGAAGAGTGGACCAGGGTGTCCTGGAGGGAACGGTCCCTGCGGAAGGTGGAAAAGGGAGGGGAATATGTGTCTGGTGGTGGCATCTCGCTGGACGTGGCGAAAATAGCGTCTGATGACCTTCTGGATAGGGATGCTGGTGGCACAGTAGGTAAGGACAAGGGGAACTCTATCGCTGTTGCGGGAGGGGAGAGAGGGGGTGAGGGCAGAAGTGCGGGAGAAGTGTTGGACCCGTTGTCGACAATGATGCTGGGGAATCCTCGGTTGAGGAAGAAGGTGGACATTTCAGAGGCTCCCTTGTTGATGTTGGCATCATCTGAACATATGCAACAGAGACCGAGGAATTGAAAGAACGGGATGGAGTCTCTACAGGAAGCAGGATGTGAGGATGTAGAGTCCAAAGTTCCTTTTCCAACAAGAACTTTTGTTTTGTTCCTGATTTATAGCATCCGCAGTTCCTTTTGCCTTTTAATTTGTGGTGTTTTGAAAGTTTTTTTTCACTTTCTTTCATATTGGTGTCACTGACCAGGCCAACATTTGAACTGAGTTGCTATTTCAGAGGGTAGTTGAGAGTCTCACATGTTCCTGTGGATCTGAAGTCATGTATGCCATTCACCACAGGATGGCAGAATTCCTTCCAGTTTTTACAACAATGATAGTTTCATGGTCATTATTACTGAAACTAGCTTTCAATTCTTGACTTCATAATTGAAATTAGACTCCACTATGGCAGCTGGTGGAATATAAACTCATGTCCTTGGACCCTGGGCCTCTGGATTACTAGGCCACTCTGCCACATCTCCAACTAAAAGGGTAAAAGGATTAAAACTGTAGATTTAACTCTGATCATATTTGCACACTGTATGTGCCTTGCAAAGAAAAATACGTAAAAGCCTTGGGAGTATTTCAGCCACCTCCATGTGCTATAATCTGGGGGATGGCGTGAGCACTTAAAGAAGAAATTAGTAACCAAATAGATTTTCCCATCTTTGCAGGTGCAACAAAGCCAAGAGAAGATAGTAAAGCTGGAGCAGGAGAAAGAACACTGGATGTTAGAAGCTCAATTAGCCAAAATAAAATTGGAGAAGGAGAATCGACGTTTGACTGAGCTGGAAAGTCAATTGAAAACTACAGTGACTGGGAAAATGCCTTTTGGCTCTATCCAGGAGAATGGTACTGTTCACAAAATTGAAGAAGAGTTGCAGCTTGTTGAAAAGGACTCCAAAGAGCCAGTTAGAAGTACTAGCCTGGTAAATGAAATAAGGCTTTAATTCAATGGGACTAAGACTTAAGTTGGTTTGTTTTGTTTTCTCCCTCCTAAAAATCTTGGCCTTAATTCCTAGGTGCTGTTCCAAGGGAAGTGACTACTCTTCCAGTTCCTTTCCCAAGTGGCATTGCTCATGACTGAGCTTAGATTACGTTTCAACATACTATTTTACCAACATAGCATCACATCCATACCCACTACATTCTGCTACTTGGGAAACGCCCTCTTTTCTCTTTCCGCCATCTCTCTACCATGTCTAAATTACTAAGGTCATTTGAAGATTTTTCTCTAATCCTGGCAGAGGATATTGTCTCTCCAGCTATCTTAGCAAGCAGTGATTTACTCTGAGTATTTGTGAAATGAATTCTAAATGGCAATAGTTTAGATATTTGTGAATTGCCACAGTCTTGAGGTAACTTAAGGTATATTAAATAGAAAACTTCTAACATTTTTGACAGAGAAAATTGTGTCCTAACATCATCCTTACTGAACCAATGCCTCATTCTAGTAAGTCCCCTCCTTTTGCTTGTAGTGTATTTTAATGTTTTCAGTAGCCTGAAACTTGAGCTGAATAAAAGTTCTTTTTTGATAGGTTGGAATGTTGACCACTTCCATCAACAATGAGGTACTGTGATATTCTTTGCATTCTTTATTGGAAATTAACTGGTTAACTCTACTGCAAACAACTTTATTTTGAAATGGACAAACTTTTGCACATTTGTTAGAATTAGAATTTTGATGCTTTATTTTTAATTGTGGTTGGGTGATTATAGCTGATCAGATTTGAGCAGCTTATTCAGAAAGCGATATAAAATATAGATTTTAAAGTGGCCCTCGCTTGTTTGGGTGTCTTATGCCATATTTAAATGTTGAGTTAAATTAGATGTGATTAACAGATTTTAAAATGTCACCGTAAATAGTATTTACCAGTCACATCTAAAGAAATATCCCATGTGTTTACTTTCAGATTCCTGATGCAGAGTCACGTGAACAGTTGATCAAAAGTCACTATATGATGAGGGTTGCTGATCTAACCGCACAACTTCAGATAGCTGACAGCAAGTCAGTGCATTTCTATACAGAGGTAATATTGATGACTGATGACAGGCTTTTAGTGTTGACATTATCAGACCTTCGTCCCCAATAAAATCAGAAGAATTCTTCATCCAAGTGATGCTTGTAAATATATCAGCCTAAAAAGAATGAATATGAAAGGAAGTACTGGAAATACTCCGGTCAGGCTGCATCTGTGGTGAGAGAAACTGAGTTAACAATGCTGTTTCACTCTCCACAGAGGCTATCAGATCTGAAGAAGGGTCTAGGCCCAAAACGTCAGCTTTCCTGCTCCTCTGATGCTGCTTGGCCTGCTATGTTCATCCAACTCTACACCTTGTTATCTCATGTATTTTCAGTGCTTTGTTTTCACTTCAGATTTCCAGTATCCAAAGTATTTTGCTTTTATGTAATTGTTTTGATTTCATTGTTACATGAGAGTTCTGCAAATCTTGGATAATAAGTCTTTTATTTGCATTTCACATTTAAATGAAGAAATAAAATACCTAAAGTTGTATAGAGCCTGTTAAGATCACTTTAGAGTCAATCAGAACCTTTTGAAATGTAGTTATTGATGTAATGTGGAGAAACATGTGCACACCAAGAACCCACAAACAAGATAAATGATCAAGTAACCTTTTTTAGTGATGTTGGTTGAGGTATAAATTCTTAGGAGACTGGGAAACCCAACTGCTCATTCATGTAATGCTTTCGGGGCATTTATCTCTACTTGTGAGAGCAAAGAGAGCCCTTTTTTAATACCTTACTTGAAATATGACACCATTGCGTCAGTAGTGTACTGAAGTGTCAACCTAGATTATATGCCCACTTCTTTGACCAGTTTTACAACTGAGCTACATATTTGCTGTGGGATTAAGATTTTTTTTGTTCCATTTGTCATTGTTCACTGGTTTAAAGAATCGGTCATGGCAATTGCTCCCATGCACTTTCTATGGCACAATAATGGATTGGACAAGTGAATGAGCATCATGAAATGAACATCCCTCCTGATTTTTGCTTTTAGCAATGAAGCATTCACTTTCAGCATCTTTGGGGAGCCTGATTTTCACTGTTCCAAAGCAGTATTCTGTGTATTGCTGTCCTTCTGTTGTGTTTTATCTAGCCATAAGGGAACTGCAATGTTGCAAAGAATGTCAACTTCACAGTGCTGTGGGTCAAAATGATTTGGGGCCTAAGACTTTTATTTTGATGAATCTCTAGCTCAGGGTAAACTCTGTTCTAGAAAAAGGATCCACAAGAGAACCACTGTCCACCTAGAATCCCGCAGCCCCAATGAATGACCGTAACACCCTCACTGAAAAGACGATAGAGTTTTGGAGTTAAAATGTTGATGTTTGAAGCAGGTGGCTGCATGATGAGAAGTAGGAAGGTGAGATGCTACTTCTGCTGTGCTTTGAGCAGTGTTATGGGTGAAAAATGAGATGCCCA